AAAAAAATCGATTAGGTAATTTCTATGTCTAATATCTAATTTACTGTTAATGTTGCAACAATATGAGCTTGAACTTTTATGTAGCTTACGATCAGAAACTACGATTTGCATCGTATATTTTCTACCTGAGAAGAAATAGTCATTCACTAGAAAAACGAAAAATAGAATGAAAACCGTTTAGCGAATTAAAAAATGTCTCTCAGTAGAAAACTAGCATAATGCTTTTCGTCTGTCTATTTTCAAAACAGTAGTAAAAATGCAATCTCTCGAAGAATCGTAATATGAATACGACAAATTACGCTACAGTGAAAGTGTACAATACTCGGAAATAGGTGCATCTTTAGAAATCCGTAGATTACAGACTTAATGTTAAATTTTTCTTCGACTACAAAGTAAGGACGAAGTTGAGGTAAAAGAGGACGACTTTAGAACTATGATTCATTGCTCGTTTAACGATAATGTGCACATATATTGCTTAAATGCCATATAAATAACAAATATCTGCCCAGATGCCTGCTCAAGTTGAAGTATTTTCCCTGATTTGAAACTTTTCGATCATGAGATTTTTAGGAATAAATCTGTTATAATGATCATTATAAACCAGAAGCTTCTGAAATTCTCACTCTCTGAGACTTTTTAAAAACAATAATGGATATCCTTGTTTGCTATTTTATTGTAATATAATGAAATAAGGCAACAAAAAAAGATAAGTTTTACGCTAATAATATTATTTGTTTGCAAATAGTGACCATAATAATTTTCTTCATGCATGCAAAGTTTAGGCTGGCTCAAAAATATAAAGATCACATTACATTATTTCGAAAGTACAAAATGATGTCAGGTTTCGAAAAAAGAATGGTGCAAAGAAAAAATGCTCCGTAATTAAATAAGTTATGTTGTATAAATGAACAGCTATCAGTTAATTAATAACTGTAAAACTGAGCAAAAACGAAGAGCAAAAAAGAAAGTTACAGCAACAAAAATTTTCTTTTGAGAAGCTTTTGAACTATGGTCACAAACTTTTTGTGAAACCCTTTGAAATTTCGGAAATGAATTTCGATTTTCCATTACAATTTTTAAGACTTAGGATTTTCGAAAACTCTCCGACAACCGACAAGTTATCTCCGCAAACTCTTTTGGATATCAACTCAACTTTTCTGGCTGTATTAATTTCTTATCATACCTTTACTGTTTCTGAAAATACCATTAAGTTTCAGATAGCAAGAGAAAGTAATTGTAAAATACTCTTCGGGTGTCGAAATCGGTACTTTCAAAACTTCAGAAAACAAAGAATGTATATACAGAAATCCTCCAAGTGTCCTAAAAACTTCTTGCAAATCTTTGAAATTTTGCGAAGAGGTTCCCAAGCGAGTTTGAGCTTTTAGAAAATTGTTGGAATGACCCTGCTTTGTTCACTATCATGTGTCCTTTTGAAACAAAGTGAGAGAAAATTTATATGAGTATTTCTCATAGTCATCTGAATTTGACTTCAATAAATCGGTGTAAGAGAAAATTTCTTGTCTGATCGATGGAACAAGTCATAGTCGTGAATAAAACGATTGATGAACAGTTCCTCGCCAATGTTTCTCATGATAGAGATCAAGAGCCTTTGGGTTCACTTTTTCTCTATAATAACGAAATTTCGGCATTCGTATTGAATACGCTGGTTTGTGGACATATCAGTTTACATTTTCTTTTTGTGACGAGACGAAATGCAAAGGAAGAAGAGAAAGGTATGAGGAGAATAGCATAGTGAAAGAAGCGAACACGTGCAATCATAAGTGTATCCTTATGAAATTGTTATGCTCCATTGATGCACATAATGAGACACCATTTAGAAAAAAAGCAATTTCATCATCGATTGATACTTCGCACAGTCGTTTGCGAACCCGTAAACAACAAACTTCATATATTTCAGTATCATTATATACGTGAGTATGCTTTATTTTCAATTTATTGAAGAGACATTCTATGAGATAACCAAGCTATTTTCAACAGGATCATACTCTTAAAAAAACGAGACTTTCTTCTCTCTCTCTCTTTTATTATTGCACTAAGAATTTTTAATAAATTCTGTTTTCTTGAAAACTGACTTAGCAAAAGCTCACACATTTTCAATAAATTATTAATCGTCAAGTGATTTTATAATTTCCAGATAGGGCTTGACTCTCAGAAAATAGAATTTCATCATATTTTCTGGATCAAAATGTTTTCAAATACATCGAGAATCAGCAACATTTTTTAAGACGTTCGGAAATTAATTTCAATTTTATAGAAAACTAATCTAAAGTCTGAAAAAAAGGAAAAGCCAATATTACTTTTTGGAATATTCTACGAACTATGAAAATTTCAAAATCATTCTTTGGTCATATATATATATACGTCAGTCGATGATTTCGAAAATATATCTTCTTCCGGCAGTTGCATCAAGTATGTGAGCTACATCAGATGCAGCTAACGCATTTTAGTTCGTTCTATAATAACAACAAAAAAAGCAATAAATTATTTTTTTTATAGGTGATCAAATTTGGTAAATAGATTTCTTTTTGAAAACATTTGCGAGAATTTCCTTTTTTGAAAATTTTTGGTCTATACGCGATACCTCGTCTATTGTCCTTTCATTCAAGATTGATTCTTCACTTCAAGAAACTTTTCTTGTAACGAAAGTATTAATTTTGTATAATCACACTTCCAAGAGAAATCGTGCATATTTAATTAGGTACTTAAAAGGAATTTTTCAGCAACTATGATTTTACTTTTATTTTGTTTTACAAAACTAGCCTCTTTTTCCAATATATGTGTACGAAAATCTTTGTAAGTTAATTATGTTTTCTTCTTGATATTGTTAAATTACCAAATCTCAAGTAATGATTGATTTTTTCTGAATTCTTTATATACTATTGGTCTATCAACAGATTTCAGGCTGCCAGTAAAATCAGTATAGAGGTGCGAAAAGCGATAATCGATATTACATTTTTTTGGAAAATTTCCACAATGCGTAATCAAGTTCTATATTTTAGAGATGTTCATACGAATATGATCGTGAATTTTTACTTAAAAAATTGACATTTGAATATAGACATTGGTGAATCTATCATCAGATTCGAGTGTTTTTATCCCAGATTTGCCTAGAAACTTGTTATAAGTGTCCTTCTTGTTTGCTGCAGGAAAAATCAGATTTACAGGAATATTTCATAAAAATCACAGCTACATTCAAAACGCAGATAATCAATAGCCAACCTATTCCGATGAATCGAAAAAAGGAAAACCGATGTTTCGCAAAAAACATTTGACAGTTAAAAAACAGATTGTAGAAATCAGCGAAGCTGGTCAACTGCTATTCGAAACTAAAATAGGACACTTGGAACAAGTTCCGAGGTGAATTCGCAGTAGAAATATTCGAATCTAGTGACACTTTCATCTACGCTGAATATAAAACTTTCTTAAATAATCTATTTTCTAAAACATGGAAATTGATAGTCGAATCCCTATGTATGTTTCTGAAATATCGTTTTCTGTTCTCTACACTTTATTTTCTATTTCACAATGTGGAAAAAAAATCCATGTTTAGAAACTTATCTATGCAAATTTTCGTCTCATTAACTTGTAACTGTCACAAGTTCTTGCGAACAGACCAAAGAAAAGTACTGTTTTCAGAAAAACATTTCTTTTTCGAGTTTTCTGTAATAGCTGTTAGAGAACGACATTTATCGTTCCAACCGTTTCTACATTGTTTTCCTTTTCCTGTTTCTATGTGATTCATCATCGATATTTTATAGAAGTAGAAATGTTGGTTAAGTTTCATTCTGTGGATGGAGTCGTCTCCACTGAGAGTGGAACGACTATACTGTTTGTCGTTATAATTGGTTTATTCGTTACCGCTGTTAAAATAAACGGATATATGCTAACATCGGTGCCATGACTCAGAATTCTCGTAAATAAGATCTGCAAGTGAATATTATTAATAGTCCGCAAATATGTTATAAGAGCAGTTGGAACAATCTGTCGTCAGGATTGATTCATCCAGAAACGTTAACTGCTGTTATCAAGTGCACTGCTCAACGATTGAGTATATTTTTTATTTTATTGATTACGGCAATCATTTCTAACAATTAAGAAACCGTAACAACATGCTATGTACGTTCTTTTTTTCTCTCCCTCTGACTTGTGTCACCATGGAGATGATAGCATCAACTTTATCTCTCATCTCATTTCGTCTTTTTCTCACTTTCATCTTGATATTTCGTTGCTTTTTTTCATTTTTCCTTTGCATTTGTTTTTTCATTATTTCGTTCATTTATATTCTTACCCAGCGCTTATGCGGGTTATGATATAAAATATCGTCGTTTTCTCAACTTTCACTGTATCCATTCCTCTCTCCTTATAGGTGTGGATGGGATGTGGATAGTCTTTTGATGCATACTCACACCTACACCTACATTCACCCACACCTTTAAAAATTTTAAATTGCTTAAAATTAATTTTCTTTATGTTCAGCAATGAGAGATAGTCCACACACCCACATCCTGAAGCTCTTAAACAGACCGATTAGTAAGTATGCATAATCCATTAGAATAAATTTTGAAGCACGAGGAAATATTTCCATCTAGCTGTATTTCTTGCAGCAAAACTAAAATGAGTTCCACTAATAGAAAATATTTGTCCGTTGCAGGCGTGTGCAGAGACCTTGTTTTTCTTTTCTTCAAATACTCAAGAAGATATAAAATGAAGTTTTGAGAAAGGTTCTGGATATGTGTGGGGGTGAGAAATAGGGTGTCTTGTTTTTACCAAGACAATGACACCCACTTCCAACCATCATTGATTTACAGTGTTAGGCTTCTTGATATATCATTCCAGATGCTAGAGAGAAAACCAGAAGTTGTAGTCATCAGCATCTAATTATATGTGATCACCGCTAGGTTTTGAAGTGATCAGTGATTGAACCGTAATTTGCTGTTGTACGGATGGCGTTGAAACACGTCAAAAATGAATCCAAACCCATGCAACGTTTTGCGGATATTCCTGGAGAACCAATACGAATGCTCGGACCTATTCAAGGCTATGAAAAAATGCCACTCGTCTCACTAGAACACGCAGTGGAGCCGCTCGAATCCTATGTACCTGATGTCAAACGAATGGTATGGATGGTAAAACAAAATTGTGGTTCACCTGCTGATGGCTTGACCGCTGATCAATCAGCATCGATTATGCTCTACACGTTGGAATGGACACCTAGAGAGCGCTCATTCTACTTTGCTTTCAATGGAGTCTTGCGCTCTGAAGATCGAAACAAGCTGAAACCGTGGTTTTTGTACTTAAAATTACTAATTATTTCACTATCAAAACTTCCCTCTAGTCTTCGTACCGTTTATCGAGGTGTCAAAGCGAACTTGTGTGCCTTGTATCCTAAAGGCCACACAGTTGTTTGGTGGGGATGTTCCTCGTGTACTACCTCAGTCGAAGTGTTGCAAACTGAGGAATTTCTTGGCAAGAAAGGCACCCGTACTATGTTCAATATCGAATGTCTTTCTGGCAAAGATATTCATCGACACTCATTTTATTCGACAGAAAATGAAGTTCTTCTTCTTCCTGCCCGACAATTCCAGGTGACTTCTTGTTTCGACTCGGGCAATGATCTTTATATAATTCAACTGACAGAAATCGAACCACCTTATCCTCTGCTTGAACCGGTGAGTGCACTCGATTGTTTGCCTTTCAGTCTATCATGCACATAATGATATCATGCTTCCTTACCTAGGTTGAAAATAACTTAGTCGCGGCTACCACATCCATGTCTCTTTCACCGTCTAAGATGCCCAGCAGGTAGTAACTCTGAAATATCGTTCTAAATTCTTACATCTGATATTTGCTTTATTTTAGCACTACGAGTTCAAAACATAAAATCAAAAGTGAGTAAAGACTATAGTGTTCATAAAAACAGAAAGCTTCCCTCTTTTCAATGGCCGATTCTGAACGTCATTATGAAAGGCACAAACGATGCATAGTCGCAAAATCTTGTTGAAGGCATGCGAATGGGTGTGGGCATTCAAAAGGAAGAAGATGGATAGATGAGCAACTAGGTGATTGGTTGTGTAACGTCTCTCAACCCATGTACCCTGAACTGAGGCTTTCATGCAGGAAAGGGCTAAAAAATTCAGCAGATGAGCAACGTCAACGTAACGTTGTAGGCTATATGATTCAAGACTTGCATCCAAGTTCATCTTCAATTTTCGACATAAAATTAGAAGCATCTCATCTGTCTCCGACCGCTTGTTTTCAAGTCCACTATCCTCTCAATTTTTCGAAATGCAATAAACATACTCTACCTACCGTAGGGAAAACCTTTACTGTTCCCGTACGAAATCCCTAACAGATCCAGGGATGATTCTTCAAGAATTCACTATTTCTCCTGAGGAAACGACTAAATCCTGAAAAATCATATGGTCACGGTACTCCAAGATCTTGACAGAATTCGACCAGAACCCTGAACCGATTATTATGATTTTTGAATGAGGACTCAGCCAGAAAAGCGTGTGGGTGTGGATGCGGGCTTAGATGAAATAAAAGGACAGACCCACGCCCATACCCTAAATGTCAAATTTATCTTGAGAAGATCTATGTCCGATGAAAACAGAACTGTGGTATTATTTGCATTACAGAAGAATAGTCCGAAATACCGCTCTGCTAACAGAATACTCTTTCAAATTTACGACACTTTTTGAGTTAGAACATTTGCTTTACTTTCCATATTGGTCATTAAAATAGAACAAAATTTGTAGTCTATATTTTGCTCAATCTAATGAGACATTGCCAAGATTGAACCACCCTGTCGTTTCTCGAATGGTGTCAAAATATTGAACATATCCATTTTTAGGAATCATTAACGGCTAGATAATTGAACTTACATACTTGGTAGAGCTTTTGTTTTTACACATAGAACCAAATGATCTAATGTTTTGAAATTGAATGTGGCTTGACTGTATCTTTTCTTTTGAGATAGCTGAATAGAAAATTAAAAGCTTTTTCTTAATGATCACGTCACAAACCCACGCATAAGGATGTTGATGAAAGCACTACATAACAAAGTTGACTCAATATTTTAACTATACCAAAAACGTTGATAATTTTGTACTATTAAGACCATAAAGCAAGGGATGCTCGATCGAATAGGTTATGCTACCACATAGAACACTTTAGCCTTTTGAAATAAACAAGGGCACAAGCTAATACTGTGCTTATGCGCAGTGGGCGACGAATGAGAGCATAGTTGAGACTGAAATGTTTTTAGCGCTAAAGTAAAATTAAGCATAATCTGATGCGCCGTCTCAGAAAGAATTTCGAATATAATATTGGATTTTACTTTTCGTCTTGCGTGAAAAAACAAAATTACCGGAGACTATTGGAGAAAATTTTTCAAGAAAAACGCTCTATTTTGTGGATTTATAATTTTTGCTGCTTAAAATATTTCACTATATCTCCATTCAACCAAAAGCTTTTTGACAACTTCTTTAGCAAAACGCTTAGAATTAAAGTCTCTACAAACTCTGAAATTTCCATTAAAATCAGTGATCAATTTTATGCAATGTGCTTGAATTCATGTTGAAATATTCATAAAAAAGCTTCTCAATCTGAGTGTATTAAGGAAGAATACTATCGACGGTCTCAAATACATTATAGAAATATGTACCGATTGCTCTCTCGAAGAATGTCTCATTCGTAGCTGTTTTTTGTGAGGGAGATTTCACCGGCAATGATAACGGTTCCTTTACTTTTCCTTCATTATAGTGATTCTTCACATTTTAGCTAATGCTCGATGGACACCGAATGGAGTAACGGTTGCAGGAGGTCGTGGGGCAGGTAACACCACTGATCGACTCAGCAAACCTTACAGTCTCTTCGTCACCAATGACCAAACGGTAGTCATTGCGGACACGGACAATCATCGCATCGTTCAATGGAAGATCAATGATACGAATGGACAAGTCGTAGCTGGTGGTCATGGTAAAGGAAATGGATTGAATCAGTTGAATTGTCCCACCGATGTACTGGTCGATAAAGAGACAGATAGTCTCATTATCTGTGATCGATGGAATCGACGAGTTATGCGATGGTCTCGTCAGCGTGGCACCAGCCAAGGGGAAATTCTTGTCGACAACATCCTTTGTTGGGGATTGGCAATAGATAATCAAAGATATCTTTACGTTTCTGACAACGAAAAACATGAAGTGAGACGATTTCAAATAGGAAATAAGAACGAAACTATAGTGGCCGGTGGATATGGCAAAGGTTCTGCCGTCAATCAACTCAGTGAGCCGAGATATATATTTGTCGATCAACAACAGGCTGTGTACGTGTCAGACAAAAACAATCACCGTGTGGTTAAATGGAATAAAGGAGCCGAAGAAGGAATTATTGTAGCTGGGGGTAAAGGCAATGGAGAGGCTCTCACACAATTGTCACACCCTAGTGGATTGTTCGTCGATAACTTGTGTACCGTCTACGTAGCAGAACAATGGAATCATCGAGTGATGCGTTGGACAGAAGGAGCGGCTCAGGGAACTGTCATTGCAGGTGGAAAGGGTGAAGGGCAAAAAGAAAATCAGTTTTACACTCCCATGGGTTTATGTCTCGATCGACATGGTCATCTCTACGTTGCTGATTGTGACAATCACCGAGTACAACGATTTTCTATTGAACAGACTCATTAACGTCATTAATTTTTTTTTATTCCTATGAAATAAATATCAATCAATAAAAAAAAACAACAATTTAAAGAAGAAAGAATTTCATTTTTTTTATTCGTGAGCATGCATGACCAGGTATCATCTGAGTGGTGTGGGGTGTGGGTGTGCGTGCACTGAATAAAAAAAGGTTCCATACCGAACCCAAAAGTGCCAAAAATGGTTTCGTACGTGCTATGGAACTTAAAAAAGATTTCGAGATTTGCAATGAAATCTAAAGCTTTTTGAAGGTTTCGCAGATTTTCAACGAAACCTTAAAAAAGTATCCTAGACTCTTTATAAGTCTTTTGAAAGCATTTCATGTTCATACGAAACCTCTAAGAAGCTTTCGATTTCGTTGCAAATTAAGTTCCGTGTGGAACCTTTTTTTCAGAGCAGATGATGAGACTATCTCTCTCTTTGTCGACAATCACATCTGTTGGGTCAGACAATTGATGAACCCCACTTCCTTGTCCATTTTCACCGGCAACCACCTGACCATTCGTCACATCCCATTTCCATTCTACAATACGATGATCCGCTCGATCAGCGGCAAAGATAGCTTCACCATCATCAGCATACAAACCACATGGGTTAGAGAGTTGATTGATTCCATTGCCTTTTTTATTTCCTCAAGCCGCGGTGATACTATTCTGTTGCCACAGAGCATTCAGATGAATGAAAATCGATTGTGACAATACTGAAAGGCAAGGAAACTTTGGAGCATGATTGAACATCGTTAACCAGACCGTTAAAAGAATACGATAGATACGATGAATTATGGAAAGTTTGAAATAAACAATTGTTGCTCTTTCTGTTCGATTTTGAACCCATCTATTATCATCAAGTACGGAGACCTGTAGAAGTTCGTCCAGTCGTAAACTCATTTTTGGGATCTCGCACATATTTCTATCGCCCAAAATCTATTACCAGCTGAATCATCAGAATAGGACAAACTTATGTGAAAGATACTTTCGACTACTCGATGTAATTTTGAGTGCTCATAACTGATCGAACTTTAACGTATGCGATGAGAGGAAAACCTATGGAATAACTAGCTTTGATTACTGGTTGCAATCGTGAATACTCGAAACGTTTTTCAAGTCTGAATTTCGAGAGATTCTTTGCTGTTATTCATTAATACTACGGAAGCGATTGATCTTGGTCAGATTTTCTTCATTTTTTAGAAAAGTAAAGGAACCGTTATCATTGCCGGTGAAATCTCCCTCATT